AAAATCTACCAAGATAAACCCTTTGGAATCTTCCAAGGCAGTTGCCCAAACCTTCCAAGCTGACCTCTCTGCTTGAATTGAAGAGGCCCCGTTGATTCCCTGGGAAGGCCACTGGTCGGATTGGGTGTTGTTTGGGTCGTGGGGAGGTGGGGAGTCCCCAGTGAGATGAAGACACGCGTGTTAGTGAGAGAACTTGTCTTCAGCCGCCCACTGATCAGAGAAGACATGTTTAAACGCGTGTCATTGGAAAGAAAGCCCATGCCAGTGCGAGCGGGCACCTTAGTAGCAGGACTTTTGGATTTGACCTTGGACAACCATCGGGACAGTCCATTGTCAAACACTCCCATTCCCCAGAGAAGAAAGCCCTGGCTGTCAGAAGTCACCCACACCTCCCCACGCGGTCCCAGGCAACGCACTCCCTAGCCTACTTTCGGTCTCGTCCATTGCCCATCCCGGCATCCTCACATCCACCAGCTCGCGTAACACAAGGCCATCGTGCCATTCAATCAGCAGCCAGTTTTCCAAGCCCACTGACCGGCCACGTGAAACAGGTCCTTCCTAGGGATCACGAAGGAGCCCTGGTGGCCTAGTGGTTATGTATTTGGGCTGCGGTCCGCAAGGTCGGCAGTTCGAGACCACCAGCAGCTCTGAGGGAGAAAGACGGGGCTTTCTAGTCCGTAAAGAATGACAGTCTTGGGAACGCACAAGAGCAGTTCCACCCTGTCCTGTAGGGTCACTATGAGTCAGGATTGCCTCGATGACAGTGAATGGTTTTCTTTTCAGTATTTATGGCTCAATCCCATTTTATGCACCCAACTCTCCTGAAGGCTTTCCTCAAAGGCTCGACTCTTCCTCAGGCATATGTTAAGAGCCCTGGCCATGCTGTGGTTATGCGTTGAGCTTTCGAAACCAGTGGCTGCCCCATGGGAGGGAGATGAGGCCCTCTACCCCTGTAAAGGGTTACAGCCTCAGATCCCCGCAGGGGCAGTTCTACCCTGTCCTGTAGGGTCTCTAGGACTCAGAACCGACTCGATGGCGGTGAGATGTTTTGGTTCTGACCTGAGGGGCTCCGTCACGTGCCACTGGTTCAAGCACCTTGGGGCTGGAACATGGAAATGCTGTGATGAACATTTGTGTACACGGTTTCAGGCGGGTGCTGCCTTCTCCTGTGATGGCTGGTCGGGGGCCCCTAAGGCACCGTGCCACGTAGGCACTGTGTGGACTTGGTGCATGTGCTACTCTCTGTTCTCCACAACAACGAAGTCCATGACACGTCTTTAAAGCATAACACGAACTCCAAGCTCACTGCCATCGAGCTGAGGCTGACGCATGGCAACGCTATAAGACAGGGTAGAAGTGCCCCTGTGGGTTTCTGGGAGTAACTTTTTACAGGGGGATGTGAGGGGATTGGGGGCCTCTGACACCTTCTGGTGACACTGTGGGCTTCCTGTTTGAGCCCCCCCCCACACCCTACCAGACCCACGTGTGCTGGGCTGGGTGCTCAGTTCTGTGAGGGACCCCCCAGGGCCATGTGCACCTGGAATGGACATGTCCTTGCTGCCCACTCCCAGCCTGCCTGCCCTCCGTATTGGCCCTCGCCAGACAGGGCCCACCATCTCCACGAGCAGGGCTCCGGGCCTCTGGACGCAGTCTCCCGGGCTGGGAGCTGGGACCAGTCCCAGGGCTGCCCCAGGGGTCTCCATGGAGTCAGGGGTAGCACACTTGGCCCCAGCCCTGCCATGGGGGGGGTGCATATGAGATTAAGTGGGGCACCCCAGGAACTCGAGCTACAGGGAGCTGGGCCTGGGAGCCGGAGGAAGGCTCAGCCTTTGGCGCTCGGGTAGACACTGTGCAGCAGGCTGGGCCGTGCACAGGACGGAGTCCGCTTGCCCTGCACCCACATGCAGGCACTCTGTGGAAGCAGGGAGGGGTGGGGGGGTGCGGAGGGGTGGAACCCAGGCCAGGTGTGACGTTATCTCAGAGGCCTGGGGAGCCAGATGGCTGCTGAGCCACAGGTTCGAGGTTGCTGTACCTGCTGAAGGCCAGGCTTCTACCTGTGGCTCTCACCCCAGGCCTGGTCCATACAGGGCCCCGGGGGGCTTGGGGATGGAGCCAGGGGTGCTCGAAGACTCTCTGGCCCCACCCCTGACCCCATGTCCTGGTGACAGGGAGCGTGTCCTCTAAAATGGGCTGAGTCGTCTTCTCTCACTGTCTGGCCCCACCTCGCCACGGTAGAGAAGGACACAAGGGTTTGGCTCATTAAAGCCAAATAAAAAAGGAATAAGCAGGAGCAGCCGATGGCCGATGAGTAACTGCTTGGGTGACTGAGGCAGTGTGGAGGGCGGAGCACGGGCCAGGGAGAAGCGGCGAGGCCAGGGAGAAGGGGTGGTTGGCAGGCTCTGGTCCCGAGTCCCTGGTGAGCCTCTGTTCTGGGCACACCACACCTGTCCTCGATCAGGCAGCATTGGGGACACTGACTTGGCCAGCCAGGCCCCTTGTGTGACTCACCAGTGTCTGATGCCACCCGTCCAAGGACGTGTGCCTGCCAGCTGGCCTCTTGGGCCCAGGTCCTTCTCCTGCTGCCAAGGCTGCCCTCTGCTCCTATCTCAGGCCACTTATCCAGAGAGGGCCAGCCTGGGACCCAGGCTCCAAGGACTGAGTTCCAGGTCCTTCGCCCCTCCCTCGCAGGGCCGCCCCCCTTCCAGACTTGCCACACCCTCTAACCACTGGTCCCATCTCCTCCCCATCTGGGGAGTAGCTGAGCACCCGAGGTCTGGTTGTGGTCTGCTTGGACCTCGGTCATTCTGAGTGGCCCCTTTGGCTCGGTCATTCTGAGTGGCTCACTGTCCTGCCTTCTGACAGCCAGACTTCCAGACTCCAGTGTCCAGCCAGCACTTGCCATGACCACCAACAGCTCCACCAACAGCTCCACAGGACTGCTATGAGCACCCACACTCTGCCCACCCTGCATCCACTGCCTCTGACAGCTGGTTCTGACCTCAGTCAGCACCACCACACCTTTACTCCGTGCCTCTGGGTCTGCAGAACCCACTGCTCATTCACACTCGAAGTCATGCTCATTCACTCACTCACTCACACACACAGGACCAGTACACACAGTCACACTGAGGCACACTCATTCACTCATACACAGCACACACACTCATTCACTTTCACACACTCACACAGGACCAACGCACACATTCACACTCATTCACTCACTCACACACATGCTCATTTATATATGAACAGCACACACTCATACTCATTCACTCTCTCTCACACACACACAACACATACTCCCTAATATGTGCTCACGCTCACTCACTCGCAGAAGTAGTGTGGACCCCTGTGGAGATTAAGGCTCCCTCTTCCATGAAGCCCTCCCAGCCCCTCTGAGGGCCTCCCTCACTCTCCTGGCTCCCTGCTCCCCACCCTGGGTGCTGTCTGGCATTGAGCGGGTGCTGCTGATGCTCAGAGTGTGGCTGGGGGAGGGGCAGAGAGAGGACAACCCACAGGGCAAGGCTGGCAGAGCAGGGCAGCTGGGTGACCAGCACGGAGCTCGCCCTGCCGCCCCCACCCCACCTCTCTTGGAGGAGGAAAGGAGGCTCCGTCCATGCAGGCTGGTGCTGAGACCCAGGCCTCTCTCCCCAGAGAAGGCAGGCCCGAGCTGAGGGCTGAGAGACGCAGCCTCACGCAGCGCAGGCCTGGCTATGCGTGTGTAACAGACCAACTCTGCATCCTGGGGGTCAGCTCAGTGCCAGGCCCCCTGACTGCAGCGCCTGCCGGCTGTACTCAGCCCCACGCTCAATGAGCCTGCTTGGTGTGGGCTGGGGACCGGATGGGCTCAGAGCCAGGGGAGCCCAGGGCCACTATGCTGGGGGCCTGGGCTCCTTCCTCATTGAGGGGACCTGAGACCGGCCCAGGGCTGTGAACAATCAAACATTCACGCCAGGGTTGGAGTCCCTGGGGGTGAAAATGGTCGGTGATTCGAACCCTCCACCCAGGAGACACGACAGACAGGCCTGGCAGTCTGCTTCCCAAAGGTCACAAGTCGAAGGCCCAGAGACAGCAGTGTCCTGTCCACAAGCTCTGAGCCAGAGCCCACTTGGTGGCAACTGCACAGGACTTTGGACCCACATGGCGCCTGGAAGTCCCTCCTTTCCAAGGGCTAGCACCGGTGGAGGGTCAGGACCAGTGAGAGGCATTCTGGGACTGGGGAGCTGGGACACTGAGGGGGGTCTGAGATTACTGCCTGGAAGAGGCAGGTGGTGAGAATTTGGGCACCAAGGGCTACAGACGAGGACACCCCAAGAGGGCTGTGAGCCAAAAGGAGGGACTAGGGTGTTGGTTCGGACGGAGGGGGAAATGGCCAGGCTTGCACTGCAGGCCGACCGTCCCCGGCTCCACTGTGGGCTCGGTTCTTCTGGCAGACGGGAGCCAATGAAGGTTTCAAGGAGAGGCTCTGCCCAGGGCTGCCCGCCCATCTGGACCCCAAGCCCGGGCTGGGGAGGGGACACTGAGGGAAGCATTGGAGGTAGAAACGGCGCTCCATGCAGGGCCCCTGCTGTGGGGCTCTGCCTGGGCTCCTAGCTGACTGAATGGGGGGCTCAAGCCTGGAGAGGGCCTCCCTGTGTGCCCCGTTCACATCTCCATGATCTCGGGGGTCCCCTCACAGTCCCCACAAATGCTCCTTCATCACGACCGTGGATGGGGTCATGGGGGAGGAGATAGAGATCCACACCAGTCCTTGGGGACAGGACACCGCTGACAAGGACTGCCGGTGGGGGGGCGGGGGTGGAGGCGCGAGGGGGGGCGGTGTCCGGCAAGAGAGAGGGCTGGCTCTCCGGCAGTCTTTCCAGGCAGGTGGGAGTGCTGCGGCTGTTCCCACTGCTTCCCGCACTGTCCACAGAACCTGGTCGTGCAGGTGATCGCCCGGGGTGACACAGCCCCGGGCAGCAGGGCGCCCTGTGACTCATCTCGCGCCCCTGTCCCCGCAGGAAGCCGAGAAGCGGCCTTCACCTACGCCATCACCGCGGCCGGCGTGGCGCACGCCGTCACCGCCGCCTGCAGCCAAGGCAACTTGAGCAGCTGCGGCTGCGACCGCGAGAAGCAGGGCTACTACAACCAGGCGGAGGGCTGGAAGTGGGGCGGCTGCTCCGCCGACGTGCGCTACGGCATCGACTTCTCCAGGCGCTTCGTGGATGCCCGCGAGATCAAGAAGAACGCGCGGCGACTCATGAACCTGCACAACAACGAGGCCGGCCGCAAGGTAGTGCGCCAGCAAGGGCGGGCCAGCCCCCAACAGTTCTGAAGGGGGCCCCCCACGGCTCCCATTTCATAGGTGGGAAAACTGAGGCTGGGGTGCAGAGGAGGGGGTGTATCCCATGTGGGTGGGTGGCAGTTGGGTGCAGACAGGGACTCTGCCCGTGATGGGTGGTGGCCAGGGCTGGCCTTTGGCCGAATGGGCTGGACGTGGTGGAGGTAGAGGGACGCCCAGGGAGGGTCGCCACGGGGAAGAAGCCTGGCCCGCAGGCCAGCCCCGCCTGCCGGCAGCGAGATGAGGCCCCAGATACAGGCGGGGAGGAGCAGCCGCCCTGGCGGTGGCGGCAAGATGGCCGGAGATAGGGTGGCAGCCGAGCAGAACGCTTGGCTCTCAGAGCTGCTCCCTGCCCCGGGGGTAGGGGGGCTGCACCCTGGGCGCCAGGGCCCACAGGCTCCACAGGTGTGGGGCCCACTCACCTTTCCAGGTGCAAAACACCCCCCCCCTCACTGCTATTGAGTCTATTCTGATGACCCAGTAGGACAGGGTTGAACTGCCCTTGTGAGTCCCCGAGACTGTAATGCTGTGTAGGAGTGGAAAGCCTCATCTTTCTCCCCCAGAGCAGCTGATGGTTTCGAACTGCTGACCTGGTGCATAACCACGATGCCACCAGGCTAAAATCCCCTCAGCCTCTGGGGCTGACACATTCACTCCAAGACCCCCCTCCCTGCTCCTTCTGAGCCAGACGCTGGGCACAGGGCTCAGGGGAAGCTCTGCCCAGCAAGCTCCCACTGGGTCCCCATGGGGGGCATGGGGCGCTCTGGGTGGGATGTGCCTGCAGAGTAACAACAGACAGACTGGAGGGAGAAGAGCTGAGGCATGCAGGAGTGGGCCAGGAGACCCCTCATGGGGGATGCCAAATGGAAACTCAGGCCTGGACAGACAGTGGCCCCGGGGCCTGTCTCTGGAGCAGTGGTCCCAGGCCTGTCTGAGGCTGGACTGGCAAGAACTGCCCCACGGGCCTCCCCCCTCTCCCCGCCAGTCTGGTCTGCCCCAGGGTCTGCCCAAGCGGTGGTTCAGGAAGGCCTGACTTCGGTCTTTGAAAGGCAGTTTGGTGTGGGAGGAGCCTGGGGGAGAGACACACAGGTAGACTCCGGGGAAGGGGCTTGAACGCACCGCATCCCTGGGGATCGCTGCCCCACCCACCTTCATTGGCTCACTCTTTTCTGGGACCCATTGTCCAAGCCGGAGCTTCCAGGCTTTGGGGAGCGGGACTCATGGTGTGGAGGGGCCGAGGAGGCAGGGGCAGAATTCCAGTTTTCTGGCCATGGTGTCACCCCTTGTCTGGGGCCTGGGCCCCGGGCCTCCAAGACCCTGTCAGGGAGGAAGGGAGGGAGATAAGCACCCCCCACCACCGGGGACCCCTGCTGCAGGGACCCAGCTCCCCATACTGTGGGGGGAGGGGATATGCAGCCTGCTATTGGGGGAGGGGAGGCCCTGTTCAGGGCTTGCTGAGGCCAGCACAGGAGGGCACCCCATGGCTCTGGTGAGAGTGACGGGTGACAAATGACACCGGGTCTCGTCTTTAATCAGGCCTCACTTCGATCCGGGTAAATGAGTACCTGGGGTCAGGGCTGGCACTAGGAAGCAGCCCTCTGGGGCGGGCAGGGAAAGCTCAGTCCTGCAGAGCCTCGAGCTCAGCCCGGAGGTGCTCCAGCTGGTAGCAAGTGGGCCTCGCTGGCCCCCACCGCCACCCCACCCAGCGTCCAGACCAGCTTCAGGCTTGCCTTGTCGCTGCTGTCACATGCCTTTAGTCATCTCCTCCTCCTAGCGGCCTCACATAACAGCAGAAACACCCCACTGTATGTCCTGCACTACGGCCTGGATGGGGACGGATGGCCCACCCTTGCCTTCTTCAAAGCCAGCATAGTTGTGTTCAAACTGCCCACCTTTCATTTAAGCCTGGTACCACCAAGCCTCATTAAAAAAAATAACTCACTGCCATCGAGTCAATTCCAACTCACAGAGACCCCACTGGACAGCGTAGAACTGCCCCGGTGGGTTTTATGAGAATGTCACTCTTGACAGCAGTAGAAAGCCTCATCTTTCTCCCTCAGGGCCACTGGTGGCTTCGAACTGCTGACCCTGCAATTAGCAGCCCAATATGTAGCCGCTATGCCACCAGGGCTTATTAGATAGCCATAATTAAGCACCACCTGGATGCCAAGCCCCATAGGAGAGAGTGGGGAGGGGGCCAGCACTTATTAAGCACCTCCTGCTGTGGGAGTGAGTGCCTGGGGCTCAGGGGCACATGTGGTTAAGCATTCCCTGCTAACCAGATGGTTGAAAATTGGTGTGCACCCAGAGGTGCCTCCGAAGCAAGCCCAGCCATTGAAAACCCCACTGAGCTCAGCTCTGCCCCCACAGATGGAGTCACAAAAGTAGGGGATGAATGTGGGGGCCGCTGGGTTGGTTGCTGAAGCAGGTCCACAGACTGGGACCCCCAGGGGTGGGGGAAAGTGCCCATCCTGGGGTGAGGGTGAGAGGCAGCTGGGCTGCCCAACCCACTGAGGCAGTCCCTGATGGGTGGTGTGAGGGCAGCCCGAGAACTCAGTCCCTGAGTAGGCGCAGAGCTGGGCACCCACTCCCTGCGTCCTGCTGCCAGCGTCTCCGTTTAACGGATGAGAAGACCGAGGCCCAGAGAGAGGAGCCTGGCACCAGCAGTCACAGGGCGGGAGGTGGTCCCTGGGCAGGACCCCAGGGTCACTGGGCCAGCAGGGATTAGCAGAGGCTGTAGGAAGGGTGTGGGGAGCCTGGCCGGAGGTGCTGAGGGGAGCTCTGTTCCCACAGGTCCTGGAGGAACGCATGAAGCTGGAGTGTAAGTGTCACGGCGTGTCGGGCTCGTGCACCACCAAGACGTGCTGGACGACGCTGCCCAAATTCCGCGAGCTGGGCCACCTGCTCAAGGAGAAGTACAACGCTGCCGTGCAGGTGGAGGTGGTGCGCGCCAGCCGCCTGCGGCAGCCCACCTTCCTGCGCATCAAGCAGCTGCGCAGCTTCCAGAAGCCCATGGAGACGGACCTGGTATACATCGAGAAGTCGCCCAACTACTGCGAGGAGGACGCGGCCACGGGCAGCGTGGGCACGCAGGGCCGCCTGTGCAACCGCACCTCGCAAGGGGCCGACGGCTGCGACACCATGTGCTGCGGCCGCGGCTACAACACGCACCAATACACCAAGGTCTGGCAGTGCAACTGCAAGTTCCACTGGTGCTGTTTCGTCAGGTGCAACACCTGCAGCGAGCGCACCGAGGTCTTCACCTGCAAGTGAGGGCGCTGGCGCAGGGCGCAGGCGTGGGTGCGGCCAGGGCCGGGCCCCGCCCCGCCCCGCCCAGGGACCGCCCACGGACAGGCGAGGGACCGCCCATGGATAGGCCAGAGACCGCCCCGCCCCGCCCAGGGACCGCCCACGGCCCGCCCACGGACAGGCGAGGGACCGCCCATGGATAGGCCAGAGACCGCCCCGCCCCGCCCAGGGACCGCCCACGGCCCGCCCACGGACAGGCGAGGGACCGCCCATGGATAGGCCAGGGACCGCCCGTCGTGCGACCAGGGCCGGCCCCACGCGCCATTTTGCACATCCCTCCTTGCCCCTCCCCTGCCTGGGGGGAAGGTGGGTGGAGGAGGTGGGACCCCGTCCCAAGAGGACACCAGCCCCATCTTCACGCTCCCCCACCCCCACCCCTGGCCCCCAGGAGCTCCTCCCTGCCCTCCGGGCCACCTCCTGCAGCAGGATGGTGGCCTGGGACAGAGGAGGAGCCCAGCACTCAGCTCTCCCGCGCCTGGGACATGAGCGCCACTCGCAAAGGGCTCTAACGGATTGACTTCCCCATCTTTCCGGAGGCTGAGCTCCACGCCCCGCCGGGCAGCAAGGGAAGGTGCCCCCGCCAGTTCTGGGAAAAGGTTCTTGCCTCTTGCTTCCTTCTGGCGTGCAGGTGACCAGTGCAGCCGAGTGCATCTCCCACCCACCATCCCACGCTTGCTAGCTGGCTGGTTGGATGCCTTCCATCTCAAAAGTCCCTGCTCCAGGTCCCCTCGCGCATCCACTGCCCAATGGGATTGTGACCACAGAAGCTAGGGGTGACAACATGTATTTAGGGGGCGGGTACACACTGTTGAACCCACGGTACCTGGAAAGGGCATCTCAAGGACACACACACACCCTGAAATGTGACATTGAAAGGACTGGGATGTCCCCTCCCCTGCTTGGTGGCCTGGATACTCAGAGGCCCCACCAGCCAGCCACACTCAAGACGGACCCCCAGACCGCTGGAAGAAGCTGAGGCGATTATTTATGTTTTCTTTGTTTCTCAGGAGGGGACTGGGCACTACCCAGTGGCCAGTCCTGCTCTCCTTGGCTAGTCCTTGGCCACCCTTGCTGCTCCTTCGCCCTCTTGAGCTGCCCCCCTCCTGCCAGGCCCTCCACCCCCTGCAGACCTGAAGCCTGGGGCCGCCTCCGGTCCCAGCAGCTCTGGTCCCAACACCCACACTAGCTGGACCCCCGGCACCCTCCTGGGCAGGCTGTGTGGGTCGGGTGAGCTGGGCAGGCGAGGGGGCTGGTGGCGAGGGGGCTGGTGGCGGATGCAGCCCCCAAGGGGCTCTGAGGAGGCATGGCCAAGGTATACTGGACCCTCTCCACCTTTCTGAAAATTGTCCCAAGCCAACTGATGTCACTGTGACAGGTTCCAGGTATGCTGTGCCCCCTCCCTAGTGTCCTGCTGGCTGGCACCCTGGTTTACAGAGTCCCCCCACCTGGTGCCAGCCTGACCCCTGCAATGGGGGCAAGGGGACTCGGGGATCTCTGATTCACTGACAGATGGGGAAACTGAGGCCTAGAGACCACCCCCCCTCACAGACCCTTGGTTGTGAATGGGAACAGGCATTCTGACCTATCAGGACATGTTCTGGGGGCACCCAGGGAGGCTGGGCTCTCCCCCTCATGCCAGACCACTGGGGGTCCCCAGATTGCTGCCCTGCCCAGCCCTGGACTTGCTCGCCTACCCTCTAACCCTGGCCAATGCTGAGAAAGCTGGCCCCGGGCTCCGAGCCCTTCCCACGGGCCTCCCTTGGAGTCCTAACAGACACTTGCTCTGCAGCTGCCTCCCCGGGAGGAGCCCTCCCCTGCCCACCCTAGATTGAGTCTGACTCACCCCATGCCCGGGAGAGGGAGGAGGGGCAGGCCTCTGCTCAGGGTCCCTCCCTAAGGAAACGGAGGTGTGGGGGAGTCGCTTAGCCAGGAGTTTGCAACGTGCTTCCAGTACACCCTTCTCTGCCCTCACCCGCAATGTAGGGTGTTTTTTCCAGCAAGGCTGGTGGCAACAAGCCCAGTGACCCCTGTCTGGCCCCTGGCCCCCCAAAACCCAAGGATGCCCCCCTCAGTGGCTGTCCTGGGGGCCTCCAGGCTGCAGTGAGTGTTCCCATCCCAGCCCTGTCCATGGGCCCAGCGTCCCCAGCCAAGGAAACTGGTTAACTTATATTGTTATATATCGTCGAAATGTCTATAGTGTCTTTTAAGTTATTGTGATCTACACTGGGTACGGGAGGGGCAGGGGGTGGCCAAGGCCGCTGTCCCCCAAGCCAGATCCTCCTTCTGCTTGAACAACCTCGGGGGGCCCCCAATGCCACCGAGTCCCTCGCACTGTCCCTCAGCGGCCAGGGGCACGGCCTCTGCCCCTGCTGAGACCCCGCCCTCCTGCACCAACCTGTCAGAACGAACGCTTGCCCTCTGGTTGGGGGGGCAAAGGGACCAGGACGATTGTGACTGAGCGCTGTCAGTAAAGGGTCCCCAGTGGGGGGGAGGGGGTCTGGCGGGCTGTGTCATGGCCCACCCTGCAGGGGCTGCTCAGCTCAATAAAAGCTGGAACCAGACCTGGTGTGCGCCTTGTCGGTGCCCTTGCAGGCCTGAGGCCCCTCACACTGAGGCTGAGGGCAGGCTGGTTCGCATTGGGCCTTGTGGTGGGGGGCTGGTTCACACTAGGTCTGGGAGGTGGGGGCTGGTTCATACCGGGAATGGTGATGAGGGGCTAGTGCACACTGGACCAAGTGGTGGGGGGCTGGTTCACACTGATTCTGGGAGGTGGGGGCTGCTTCAGATTGGACTCAGTGGTGGGGGTATGGTTCTCATTGGGTCTGGGAGTGGGGGGCTGGCTCACACTTGGCCTTGGGGGGATCTAGTTCACACTGGGCCTGGTTGGGGGTGGGGCTGGCTCACACTGGGCCTGGGGGTTATTCTCTCTGGATCACCAGGGTCCACTAAGGACAAGCCTGAGCCTGAGTGTCATGAGGGACATCCTTTCCGACCAGGACAGCCCTTGGACTTGGGGCTGGCCCCGCAGGGTCCCTCCACTCTCAGATCCACCCCGGACACTTCAGCCCAGCAGAGGCTGGGGCTCCACCTGACCTCAGGCCCCACCTGGCCATCCCCACCCCCCAGGGGCCACTGGAAAGCTGGGATGCTGGCGAGGGACAGGGCAGCAGGGATGGGGGTGGGGATGCTGGCGAGGGACAGGGCAGCAGGGATGGGGATGGGGAGGCTGGGAAGGGCCCCACTTATCAAGGCCATCATTTCCCTGGCCTCAGGTTGCCCGAGGGTCTACCACTGGGTGACTCCAGTGCCCCTGGCTGTCCCTAGTTCCCCGAGGCCCACGGGCCTGCAGGGAGGCTGAATGGCATTCCAGCACAGGGCCGGCAGGCATGCAGTGGGGCCGGTTTGGCTACTGCCCGCTGTCCCTGGTATTGGGTGGAACGGCTGATCAAACAGCCCCCATCTGCCGTGCCCATCCTGGCACACATGGAGCCTGGCCCCAGCCCGATCCCAGGCCCTCCAGCATGACTGTTCCGAGGGACGGGTCCCTGAGCACCTGGGAACCCTACACAGGGGTCTCTGGCTCCATGGCCATGGTGATGGGTGCCCCTTGGCAGGGAGGGCAGGAGGTGGGCATGCAGAAGGTAGCGTGCTGGCTGGTCTGAGCCCAGGCCTTGCCTCACCTGGGCTCCGTTGACCAAGGCAGGTTCTGGCCACCCTCCTCCCAAGGCGGGGCCTCAGTTTCCCCATGTGCAGCCGACAGGTGGCCCTGCTGGCAGGGCTGGGCAATTTGGCAGGAGGCCCGGTTCCCCACGAGACGGTAAGGGAATCCGAGTGGTGGCTGCGGCAGAATGCCTGGGTCCGGCTACTCCCACAGGGGCAGGAATGAGGAAGGAGCTCTGCGCGGCTCAGGCCCCAGGCTCAGACTGCACTGGGGTCTTGGCTGCAGTTCAAACCCGCCAACCAGCCCAGCCCCGGCCTCCCGAGTCCCTGTGCATCCTCCAAGGGGCCCCTGTCTTCCTGGGGCCAGGAGCCCACACTGCCCAACTGGCCTGTGGTTTCTCCGGCCCCCTGCCTCTAAAGTCAGTGTTGCAGAGGCAGACCCGGTACCCGCCCCCGCTACCCAGCCACCCTCGCAGGGGCTTTATCTCCCCACACGGGACCCTCTCTCGCCACTCTGGTCTTTACACACCAGGTTCCTCCTAGCACCCACATGTACGCAGGCTGTTCCCTCCCCGACCTGTGGTCCTCGCTCCACTGTGGCGAGCAGACAGACAAAGTAGATGGCCATGCAGTGTTCCTGGGCAGAGTCCAGCTCTCCCCGGAGGTGGGAGGTGGCCAGCGTTGAGAATTCTGGAAATGTATCTGCCATGTCCCCTCATTCATTCATTCACTCAGTCACTCCTTCAAGCCCCCAGCAGCCCCCAAGACTGCGGTGGTTCTCACTGGCCCTACCTCCCCATGGCATTGCGGGCAGCCTGCTGGCTAAGGAAGGGCTTTGGCAAGAGGCTCCGTGTCTCTGGCCTCTGTTTCTTCTGCAGAATGGGTTCAAGAAGGCAGGCTTTACCCGGTACTGCCTGGTGGCCCTCTGCCACCCTCTGCCCAGCCTGAATGTGTGCATCAGGATCTGCCATGCCTGCCATGCCTAGGGCTCTCCCCAGTCCCCCAGATGCTGGAGGAGGTCAAGCTCCGGGAAGTTGGGCACCCTACGTGGCAGAGCAGCTGTCTCATGGGGTGACTCCATGTCCCAAGGCTTCTGTTTTCCTTCCCCCATGGAGAATCCCCAGCCCCTCCACCTGTCCCCAGACTTGCCTAAGCCCCATCCTCCCAGCCTCTGCTCCTGAGTGCCCTCACCCTGGGGCATCCTCTCCTCCTGGCCCTCAACCACAGCCCCTCCCATGAGGCCTACCCTCTCCAGGCTCACCCTCCCACCCTCTCCCACCTGGCTCACCATCCCATGGTCAGGC